GGGGGGGAGGGGGGGTGGGGAAGCGGCATGGAAGTTAGGGAGTGGTTGGGCATTGCAAGGCAGAGCCTAGCAAGGTGATGAGGTCGCGGTGCCGCCAAGTGACGAGGCCGGCGCACACGCCGTGACCACTGCCGCCGCCCGTGGGACCGCCATGGCAGGCAATGCAAACGCGAGGCCGCCCGAGTGCAGTCATATTTCTCGCATGCATGGCGCGACAAGGCGCGGGCCAGCCCCATGCCAAGGGGGGATCAGAGCGCGCGGCCCCAACTGCCCTCTCACCCGCGTCTGACCGGAGCATGATGGGCACTGGGGGCGGCCGCAGCGCAGGGTGCAGGGGGTGAGGCAGGGCGAGCGTTGCAGGGGCGGCATGAGCGGCAGGTCGCTGCGCGTTCGAGCTGGCGCCACGCAGCCCGGCCACTCGCCGGATCACCTGCCCTCCCCCAGCGCAAGGCCGAGCCGCCGCGCCCGCCCCGCGCCGCGACGTCGCTCTGTCCCTCGGGACGACCAACCCGGTGCCGCCCCGCCGCCTCAAAACACACGCATGCGCGCCGGCGCGTTCGCGAGCGCGTACGCACGCGCACCGTTTACGGCTTCCCCCACGTGGCCGGCCTCGAACTCCTCTGGGGTGCGCACATCCAAGTAGGGGTAGGCACCAGAGTCCACCAGGGCAGCCACCTCCTGAGGCCCCGCCAGCCGCACCGCCGCGCGCGCGCGCGCGTCGCGCGCCGGCTGCTGCGTCGCCATCGTCCGGGCGCGGCTGGGCGCGGGGACGGGGGTTGGGAGGAGAGGGGTGCGGCAGGGAGGGCGTGTGGGAGAAGCGCGGTTGGGATGGGCGGCGGAAGAGGAGGGCGACGCAGGTGGAGAGGAGGGGGCGCTGCGTCCGTGCAGCATGCGTCGGGCGCATGGCTTCTGCTGCGGCTCACCTCCCAAGGCAGGCGCTTCTGTGTACAGAGCGGATGAGCGCCAATGACATGATCGATCGACTAGTCAGCTACGGAGAGAAAGCTCGAGGAGTCCTGCAGATCGCGAGTCCGGAACTCTGTGTGAAGATGTAATGATAGAGGGTCTGCACGCGACAAAAAAGCCCCTATTGGTCCACACGTAGATGTGTGCATCACCCAAGTGATCCAGTGACTCAGCTGTCTGGTGCCGACACCCCGCGTACTCTGCTAGCGGTGTGTCACGCCCACAGGCATACCAATAAAGCATCAAGCACTGAGGATGATGCGTGCACGCACCACAAGCACATTGAAGCCTGGCTGTCTGCCCGCCAGGCGCACCCAAACACTGCGCTGGACCACAGCACACCCTCTCCAGGACCCACGGGGAAGCTGCACTTACACTGCGCAGGCAGCGGCGCGATTGGACTACGGAGGTGAACATTGGTGGTATGACGTACACGGGCCGCTGCAGCCAAGAAGAGGAGCAGGGCGCCACGGCCGGCCGCGGAGCGGCGGCGTCAAGAGGCGCGGCGCAGGAGCCGGGCGCGGTGCGCCGTGGGAGCGTGGCCGCTGCGCGCCCGGGCGGCGCGCGAGGGGGCTCCGACTGAAGGGAGGGGGCGTCTCAAAAAGAGGATGAGAGTGAGGATGTGGAGCAAACACGGAAAGGACATGCGTGGCGGGAAAAAATCGCGGGGCTGCAGGGCCTGGCCAGGGGCTCTCATGACTGTGTTTGGAGGGCTCGCCTCCGGCCGGCACCCCCCGCCAGCCAGCGGCGGCGCAGCGAGGCGGCGAGCCGCGAAAGCTGCCGCCGCACGGCGGCGGGGGCGCCGCGGTCCGCGCGTGCCTCACCCCGTGCCGGGCCGCGGCCCTACAACGGGAGAGAGGGCCGCTGCAAAATCGCAAGGTCGGGCGGGCGCCGGCGCGGCGCGCGGCCGGAGCAGGGCGGAAAAAAGCGCGCGGCCCGCCGCCCCGCGCGGCGAGCGCCTGGATGGGATTGTACACGCGCGCTCGCGCCCGGCCGTCGGGCCCCGCGCGGCCGCGTCAGAGGCGGAGCGTCGGCGGCCGGCGCAGGGCATGGTGAGGTGAGGGATCACCCGATCGCGCCGCGCATTTCCCCCAAAACGCGGCTGCAGACGTCCAGGAAGACGGAGACGTCCCCCTCCAGGCGCTACGCGGGTGGGGGGGGGGGGCACGGCAACGGCACGGATGACGGGGACGAGGGGTGGGGGTGTGTAAGAGCGCGCACGCGCGCGCGTGTGTGTGTGTGCATGTGAGGGAGTGTGTGTGTGTGTATGTGTGTGTGTTATATGTGTGTGCGCACGCGTGTGCACATGCAAGGCTGCGCACGAGCGCTCGTGTGATGGCCCGCAGCCGTTCTCGGGGGCGCCCCCACTCCCTGCACAGTGGTGCCCAGCCTCCTCCGTCCCTGCATACTACCCCACACACGAAGTCACCCCCAGCCAGATCATCCAGATCATCCCGGCCATCAGCAACCTGAGCGGCCCCCACCTGGACGTCCACCGTGTACTCCTCATCTCTCAGCTTGTACAGCTGGCACTCAAACTTGACAAGATACTCCACCGCCTGACCCCCACCTGCGCCCCCGCCGCTGCCGCCGCCTGCGCGCGCCCCGCCGCCACCCCGACCCGGCGAGCCGCCCGCGCCGCCGCCGCCGCCGCCAGCCACCGCGGCCTGCGCCTCCGCGCGTGCGGCGAGGTGGCCGGGCGACGCGAGGGGTATCGGCGCGCTCTTGCCGAACGCGGCGGCGGCCGCGGCGGCCGCCGCTTGCTGCTGCTGCTGCTGCTGCTGATGGTGGTTGTGGTGCTGCTGCTGCTGCTCTAACTCCAAGGGGTGGTGCGAGCTGGGGTCCTGCTGCATGGCATCCCCCCCTCCATCGCCGCTGCTGTTGTGATGCTGCTGCTGGTGCGGCAACCGCCGCACGCCGCCGCTGCTGTTGCGAACGAGCTCGTGCTGGTGGTGCTGCTGGTGGTGGTGGTGCTGCTGCTGCTCCTCCCCGTCCTCGCTCATGCGCCACAGGCGGGACGGGTGTAGAGTGACGACGCGGCGGCACTTCAAATTGTAAGGCCCCGTCTTCTTCCAGCTGATGCGGTTGGCCTGCGGCGAGGGCGCGACGCCACGCAGTGTTTGACCAGTGTTTGACAGACGGCGCGCAACAGAGGTTTGATCAAGGTTTGACCCGGCGCGGCGGACGCACTGCAGCAGCTGGCGCGCTCCCTCGATTGGTGACGGCGGCTGTGAGCGCCGGACAGGGTTTCATCTCTGCGCCCTGTGCAAAGCCGTAAGCACAGAGCAGCTGCCCCGAAGACCAGGCAGGGACCACATACGCATGCGGCCCAGTGGGTGACGTCACTGGCCGTCATCGCACCTGCAGCGCCCTGTACAGCTCGCCCATCAGCGCCGACGGGTGCCCCCGCGCCGCCACCCCCAGCCGCCACCTCCGCTCCGCCACCAGCCGCTGCTGCGGGAGCCCCGCGCCGCCGCCGCCGCCGCCGCCGCCGTGCCCGCCGCCGCCCTGGTGCGCGTGCCCGCCGTGCTGGCCGCCGCCGCCGCCGCCGAAGCCGCCGGGGGTGCTGCTGCCGACCTCCTGCATTTCCCCCGACAGGTAGCCGCTGCTGGGCGTGCGGCGGCGGTTGTCGGCGATCAGGTAGTAGGTGACCGTGGCCTTATTCTGCTCCCGGCCCCGCAGCGACTGGATCAGCATGTCCCGATCAAAGCCCAGGCGCGTGACCTGGGGTTTGAGGGGAAGGCAAGGATGCGTGAGCAAGGACGGCTGCGTGCGACGCAAAGGCAGCCGGTGTTCCAGGCGGGCACGCCGCAGCGTTGGGGACCGCAGCACGTTTGTCGCAGGCGGCCCATCCCGTGCTGTGCCGGGAGGTTGCAATGTGGGTGCCGGGCTGCGCCGCCACCCGAACCGTGACCAACTGATTCAGGTTCCCCCCACCTTCCCTCTTAGAGCCCCAGATCCGCATCCACACACCCATGCTCTTCCCCATCAATCACCTCAGTCACCCCGCCCCCACAATACGCCCACCTCCGCTATGATGTCGCTGTCCATGCGCGGCCGCGTCATGGCTGCGTCCGCCTGCATGACTGCCAGGTATCGCGGCAGCCGCGCGGTGAACCAGGGGTGACACCGCACCTGCAAGTTGGTGCGGGAGAATACGCAGGGCCCGTGTGTATGTGTGTGTGTGTGTGTGTGTGTGTGTGTGTGTGTGTGTGGGTTGTGGGGTGACCGTGCATGCAGTATGGGTACATTCCAGCTCAGCGTCGCAAGCCTGACGCTGAACAAGGCTCATGCCCTGAGCCAGCCGTCCCCATTGCCGCCGAGCAGTCACCAAGCCGAGTGAGGGCGGAGACCGCAGGCAGCCCCTACCCTCACCCCACCTCCGGGATGGTGATGCGCTTGAGGGGGTCCACCAGCAGCATGCGCGGTATCAGGTCGCGCGCGCCTGCGTGAAGCCGAGAGGGATCAAGAGGCAATCATGTCGCCGCATGCCAGAGGGTGGCAGTCCCCGTCACGGACGCATCGCATGCATCGCGCCCCGCCTGCATCGCCCCCCGGCTGCTGATGCACGCTGCCCTGAGGCCCCTAGTCCCGAATTCAGCCTGACCAACCGACGCGCCGGCCGACCTGTCAACCGACACACGAAACATACGTGGCGACCTCACCTGGGCTGAGGTGTGACGGCAGGTTGTATATCCCCCCCTTGATCTTCTTGAACAGGTTTGGGATATTTTCGTCGTCAAAGGGCAGGGAGCCGCAGAGCAGCGCGTACAGGATCACGCCGCACGACCACACGTCGACCTCGGGGCCCGCGTAGAGCTTGCCGCTGATGACCTGGGAGGTTGCCACAAGGGCGG